ATAAAAGAATGATGAATATCAGAACATTTAAAAATGGTCATATCCACCTATCAAGAAGATAGGGTAAAAGTTGGGAGCCAGCTTACCCAGTTCAGACTGTATACCACCTACTGAATGAGTTTTCTCAGGCAAATTAATCAACCTCTGTTTCTCAGTGTCCTTAGCCAGACAGTTGATATGAGAACTCAATGAGTTAATAATATATGTTGCTGGGCCAGGGATATAGCTCAGTGGCACAAGCGCCTGCCTAGCAAGCACAAAGGTCCTGAGTTCAAGACCTGATACAAAAAAAAAAAAAAAATCTGTGGGACTCAGCAAAAAACATTGCCGGGTGTGGGAGCGCACACCTTTAATCCCAGCACTGGGGAGGCTGAGGCAGGAGGATCACTGCGAGTTCAAGGCCAGCCTGGTGTGCTCAAGGCCAGTCTGAACTGCACAGTGAGACCCGGTCTCAAAAAGACACACACACAAAAAAGTAAAGTTCAGTGGCATACAGTAGATAGCATGCAGTAAGCACTCCACAGAGGCGGCCAAGAGGAGTAGGAATGGTAATTTTTCCTAAGGAAAAAGGCAGCACATAGACAGACACTTTTTATATACGCAGAAAATGTAATAGGAAAAGTAGTGATCACTACCCATATAAAGGCTGACTTATGAAATGTAAAACATGATCCACCCATACACATGAAAAATGTAGCTATTTAAAGTTGGTTTTCACAGAATATTTCACAGCATGGAAATATACGCTAAGCTTCCGTGTTCCATGGGGAAAAGGATGGGCTAGAACGGTGCATACACACATCTGGGCCCAATTCTGTTTTTGTAGCAAGTAGTAGAGACACAGTGTACGTGTCACTGGAGATCAAGCCCAGAGCCTCACATGAGCTGATAAGGGACTGAAATCGTAAGCAAAATAAACTTCTGCTCCTTTAAGCTGCAGTTTTAGATATTTTGTCCCAGCAACAAGAAAGCTGACCAATACAAGCACAAATCAAAATAAAACGCAGAGGAAGACGAACAGGTAACCACGTTACACTGCAACTGGACTTGATTTTAACAGCAATAAAACTCCATGTGGTCAGCCTGCCCAAAGATCTAAAGGTAGCTTTCTATTACAGTCATTATCAGAGAATTAACTACTTTGAATTTAAAGAAGTAATAAAACAAAAAAGAGCAACAAGAGTTGTTCAACGATGTGTGTAAGTTGCAAGAACTGCACGATTTCCTGGGGAGAGTCCAGGCCACGTGCTGAAACGACTCACTCCTTCCCACGGCCGGGAGCAGGTCCCGCAGCCAGTGAGCACAGACCTACCTTGGGAAACAGAAAGTAACAGCTCCCAGGGAAATTCTGGAGCACCCGTTACTAAGAATCCTAAGAACACCAGCTGACCAGGTCCATTTTAAGGACAGAAAGCTCATAAATCATCTCCAAGAACGTCGGTTAACTATTTTTCTCAAAAATGTCTAAGAAACTGGCCTGAGTCCAAGACTCTTAGGAGGAAAATCCCTGAGCTGTGATTACCACTCACAACCTTCAGTGTCCTGGTGGGCTTAAACATTAAACAGGATTCATCTCCTAATCAGATTTTCAATCCGCCATGGCATGGATTTAGCCTCTTACGAGAAGGTGTGCATTACTTATGTACAACTTTCCATCCTGTCTACCTTGAGCCATTACAAGAACGTAAGCTAAGTATACTTTAACCTCAAATTCTAACTAGAAGACAGTATTTCATCAGTTATTCAAATGCAATTTTTCAGTTTTTCCATATTATTCCTAATATGGTAAAAATCACTGTATATTTACTATAAACACTTTTTTTGAGGCAGGGTCTTGCTATGTAGCTTAGGCTGATCTTGAACTTACTACTACGCAGTCCAGACTGGCCTCAAACTCATAGCAATCTTTCCGCCTCAGCTCCTGAGTGCTGAGGTGAAAAGTGTGTGTTACCAGGCCGAGCAAAGTTTTTTTTTTTTTTTTGGTCTTTTTGAGACAGGGTCTCGCTATGCAGCTCAGGCTGGCCTTGAGCTCACTTTGTAGCCCAGGCTGGTCTCGAACTTGCAACTATCCTCCTGTCTCAGCCTCCCGAGTGCTGGGATTACAGGCATGCGCCACCACACCCGGCCAAGCAAAGTTGAGAATTAAATGACAGCATACTTAAGAAACAAAGTGTTGAGCTAGGTGTGGTGAGGCATGCCTGTAATCCCAGCACTCAGGAAGCGGAGGCAGAAAGTTCCTTGAAAGCTGGAGACAGGCCAGGGCTACAAAGTGAGCTCAAGATCAGCCTGAACTTCAGAGTGAGACCCTGTCTCAAAAAGACTAAAAAAAAGCAAGTGTTTACTATATGGCCAAGCTAAATAGTCTCTCACTGAGAAATATGTCATCTTACTTGCTCAGAGGCAGCAGGACCTTCCTGATTATGAGGTCTGGAGTAAAATCCCAGGACTTAGGTCTTCTGTCAGTAACTAATACCAACCATCAGTCTGTGCCCTCGCCTGCCTGTCTTCAAAATGAGAATACTCCTTTCCTACTTTATTTAGGGTTTTTTGAGACAGGGTCTAGCTGTGTAATTCAGGTTGGCCTTGAACTCACTATGTAACTTAATCTGGACTTGAACTAGCAGCAATCCTCCTGCCTCAGCCTCCTGGAACTATAGGCATGTGCCACCATGCCCAGCCCGAGAAAATAGTTCTTAACTGAAGGAGCCATGCAAGGATTAATCCATTCATAGTGCTCCAAATTTTGGTACAGGATAAGTAATTATCGCTATCATGTGACTATTTTGGGGTTTTCTTTTGATAATTTTCTACCTGTGATACAAGTTTTCATTTGTACTGATCACAAATTTCCTTCTTAAATAAGTTACTCTAGATAACGCTATGGTTTGAAAATACAAATTCCGTGTGTTGGAAACATAATCCTCAAACTCTTACCTCAGTGGTCTTTGAAGATGGGACCTCTGCTGTGGGGGAAGCGGGGCACAGTGCGCGGGTGGGGAAGGCGGGCCCGCGGGGTGGGCCCAGCACGGCGCAGGCATGTGGGGAGTGGCCCTGCTCTCCCTGGACGCCTGCTCTGTCCCGCCCTGCGGTGCCCGCCACCCGTCACGACGCGACCAGAAGGCTCCCACCGGCTGCTAAGCAGATGCAGGCACCGAGCGCTCGGGCTTCTCAGCCTGCAGAGCTGTGACCCACATGACCCTCTCCTCTTTACAGTCACCCGGTCCCCAGCAACACGCGGCGGCGTGCGGACAGGAAAGAAAACGAAGGGAACCCCGCAGGGGGTGCAGGTAGCTCAGGAGTCCGAACGTGAGGGTCACGCGCCAAGACTGCCACACCACACAAAAACACTTTTTCCTGTTCACCAAACACCTAGTTTTTCCTCCAAGACCAGGCTTCACTGGCTTCTTGTACTCTAACTCAAGACTCCTGCGCACTCAAGCTCCCAGCAAGCCGAAGGAACGGGCAGGCGCGACTCTGCTCGTGCACCTCCTCCTCCTCCTCAGCGCCTCTCTCCAGCCCAGCTGTCCACTCACGAGCACCAGAGGAGCAAGGACGGAGTGTCCTCCCCACCCACTGGGACCCCCCGGAGTCTCTGGGACACCAGGCAACTGACCTTCAGGGCTTTGAAGATGACGCCGGGGTGCCGAGGGGAACGGGTGGTGTTGTTCTCCAGCTGCTGCTCCAAAGCACGCCGGAGCCCGGAGAAGTCGGTGGGGGGGTTGTAAGTCCTCGTGCCCTTGTAGTGAATGGAACTGAAGGCCTCGGGGAAGCGGCCCAGCTTCCTGAACCGGTCCTGGATGAGCTTCTCCGGCACGTCGGAGGGGTGATCTGCACAAGCAGAGATGGGCATGTGAGCGGTGAGGGGCTCCCTGGTTTTTAGGAAAGTTGCCCATCTTTCCTTACCAAAGTAGGACAGCCGGGCGTGGTGGTGCACGCCCGTAATCCCAGCACTTGGGAGCTGAGGCAGGAAGCTGATGAGAGAGTGAGGGTCAGCCTGAACTTCATAATGAGGCCTTGTCTCATAAAACCAAAAAAAAAGTAGGACATAGTCTACTCCCTACAGAAAAAATACACAGACAACTAGCACGCCTGAGAATGAACAGCATCAGGTTAATGCTGCCAGCACAGGAGCATGAGGAAGGCTCCCGTGAGGAGGGTGTGGGTGTTTCCAATTCTGCTGCTGATTACACGAGTGTCTTCGGGTTATGGAAACCCATCATGTAGCCAGGCGTGGTGGCACACGCCCAGTATCCCAGCACTCAGGAGGCTGAGACAGGAGGATTGTTGCAAGTTTGAGACCAGCCTGGGCTACAAAGTGAGCTCAAGGCCAGCTTGAACTGCATAGCGGAGACTCTGTCTCAAAAAAGAAAAAAAGAAAATGCTGCTGTCATATGACAAAGCTGCGTGAGGGCACAACCTCCTGCCTGGAGACCAGTCACGTGGGAGGTGTGAGCAGTGTTGGGGGGGGTGGGAAAGACTTTTTATTTTAATCTCTAGTATTTTAACAACAAAATACTCCAATTAATGCTGAAGATCTGTTAGTTCAAATTTAAAGGAACAGCCAGCGTGGCGGCATGCACCTATACTCCCTGCACTCCAGATGCTGAGGCAGGAGTGCGAGGAGGCCAGCCTGAACTACACAGGGAGACCCTGTCTCAAAAAACAAACAAAACAAATTTAAAGGAACAGCCACTGAAATAGCAGGAGCATGAGGAGCATAGCTGTAATTATTCCCTGCACCCATCTTCTCTTGCACTTTACTCTTTGCTTTTTGAGATGTTGTTTTGGTTTTTTTTGCTTTGTTTTGTAGGCAGTACTGGGCCTAAACCCAGGGCACTTTCCTACTGAGTTACATGCCCAGACGTATTTATTTGTTTTCAATTTTGAGACAGTCTCGCTACACTGCTTAGTCTGGCCTTGAACTCGTGCGTCTCCTCCTCAGCCACTGGAGTACAGGTCTGTGCCACTCCATCCAGCCTCACCCAGAACTTAGAAGCAGCTACTGTGCCCTTCAGTCCTGGCTTCCCCCAAAGCCACAGGAGCCCAGCCTGGGAGCCTGCACGTCCTTCCAACCTCACCGCACAGCTTGCCCTGCACACACAAGCCCCAGAATGACTTGTTTCTGTTCATTTGTAAAAGAAAAATAAAGAAGAGCAATGAAAGAAAGAAAAAAAGTAAAAAATTAAAAGAACTACAAATACAAATACAGACTGAACATCCCTATAGTAAAAATTAGAAATCTGAAATGCTCTAAAATCTGAAACTTAGCCAGGCATGGTGGTGCACGCCTGTGATCCCTGCACTCGGGAGGCTGAGGCAGGAGGATAGTTGCAAGTTCGAGACCAGCCTGGGCTACAAAATGAGTTTAAGGCCAGCCTGAACTACATAGCAAGACCCTGTCTCAAAAAGACAAAAAACAAAAAAAATTAAATTAAAATTAAAATAAAATCTGAAACCTTTTTGAGCACCAGATTTGGCGTTTCAGATTATAAGAATGTTCCACCAGTAAAGTCTCTGCCACAATCCAAACTCCGATATACTTATAGTCTCAGGCATTTTAGACATGGGATACCCAACCTATAATTTATTTTACTACTAATCTCCTACCAGGGCTGGGGATTTAGCTCAGCAGCACAGCGCCTGCCTGGCAAGCGCAAGGTGGTGAGTTCAATTCCTGGTACCAGAAAAAACAACAACAACAACAACAAAAAACTACTAATCTCCTACCTAGCAATTCCACGTTCATAAAAAATGATCAAATGGAAAATCAAAAATTCTATGAGACAGTAAAAATCTAACTATCAGTTTGCCTACTATTCTGTCACCCCTCCTATCTTGCATTAAAATCTGGCCACCCTAGTTCCAACTGAAACTGTAACAGCAGTCCAGAAACAGGTCTTGATTTAGGGTTAGAAGACCTTGATATGAATCCAAATTTTGCTAGAACTCTCTTGTCACACAGTGTAAAAGCTGAGTTCAGTTTCTTCATCTGCAAAATAGAACTGCTAAGTAGGCTGAATAATAAAGCACAATTAAAGTGCATCTTATTCCATAAAGAATGGTCACCATCAAGAAATCAAATAATAACAAATGCTGCAGAGGCCACAAGGAAAAAGGAACCCTACTATATTGCTGGTGGGAATGTAAGCTAGTAAAGCACTATGGAAATCAGGATGAAGATTCTTCAAAAAACTAATTCCAGCCAGGCATGATGGTGCACGCTTGTAATCCCAGCACGTGGGAGGCTGAGGCAAGAGGACTGCCACAAGTTCAAGGCCACCGTGAACTACATAGTGAGACTACCTCTCAAAAGAAAATTAAAAAAAGAAAAAAAACTATTTCTATTCCATCCCATTCCATTCCTTTGTGGAACCTTCCCAAAATAGTTAAAGATATCATGTTACAGTGATACATGTGTACTCCCGTTTATAATAGCATCATTCATAATGCCTGAATCTTGGAAGCAACCTACATGTCCATCAACAGATGAATGCGTAAAAGAAAATGTATTTACATACAGTGGAGCAGTACTCTGCTATAAAGAAGGACAAATTTAAGTCATCTGTAGGGAAGTGGATTCACCTCAAGACCACAGTGTTGAGACAGACACACGACTTAGACATCACATGCTTTCTCTTTTTTTTTTGGTACCAGGAATGGAACCAGGGCCTCGTTCTTGCCAGGCAGGCGCTATCACACGGTTTCTCTCATACGAGAAACCCACAGTATAAATAAAGTGCAAAGTGAAAGAAAGACATGAAACAGGGAAATTGATTTTTTGACAATATGGGAAGGGCTTTTAAAAATTACATGATTAAAGGCCAGGGGGGTGGTGCACGCCTGTAATCCCAGCACTTAGAAGGCTGAGACAGGAGGATCACTGCAAGTTCAAGGCCAGGCTGAACTACACATGAGACCCGGTCTCAAAACAACAAGGAAAAAGGTTAAATGATTAAGAACAAAGGTGTGTTCTGTGCGTGGCGATGTAACCGCTATGCAGTACAAACACATACCCAAAACAGGCATATGCTGTGCGCCTCTTTTTGAGGGAGGGTCTCACTACCCAGTACAGGCTGCCCTTGAACTCACTTACGGAGCCTGCCTTGAACTCGCAACAGTCCTCCTGCCTCAGCCTCCAGAGTGCTAGGATTACAGGCAAGTACCACCATGCCTGGCCTGATACATGCTTTTAAAATAAATGCTTTTTTAGCGCATGGCACAACGCAAATACCTTTTTTTGTTCTGTTTTGTTTTCTGGTACCAGGAATCGAACTCACGACGTTGCGCTTGCCAGGCAGGCACTGTGACACTGAGCTAAATCCCCAGCCCCACAAATACCACTTTTTTTTTGGGTGCCAGGAATCAAACTCAGGACCTTGTGCTTGCTAGGCAGACAATGTAATGCTGAGCTATAGCCCTGGGCCCAAATACAAACTTTTGAGGAGCTGATTATTTCAGCATCCTAAACCTTTCCCTCAAAGTTGTAAAACTCTTAAGGTGGCACTGAATGCTCACAGGGCACCCTAAATCAACACTTCTCACCTTCTCTGTGTGCCTCACAAGGACTCGCTGATGTGCCCCTCCTCCAGTATGAACGTGACGGTCACGCATCATGGAGACCAGCCCAATCTACTAGTCCCACGTCCACCCGAACAAGCTCCTATGTGGACCTGTCTGCTCACTGCGCTGGCCCAGTCCCTACCTTTTCAAGGAATCTAGTACCATGACAACTTCCGCTCTAGTCTCTCCACTCTAGGCAGGCTCCTCTAATTCACCCTAAACCGACCGCTAAGCTATCTTCCAAAAATGTAATGTGATCATATAACCCTGCTTACGATCGCTGGGGGCTCCTACCACACTTGAGAACTGCGTGAGGGCCATCTACAATCTGCTACCCGAGTATCTCCACCACTCTTACACGAACTATGCCTCGGGCGCTCGGAGCCTCCTCATTTTCTCACTCAGCACACAACTGTGCGTCAAACATTCCCCCGGGCTCTTTACACAGAGCAGCGAGGAAGACCATCAGTGCCTGTGGGAAACAACCCAGGTGGTTCTGTGGGAAAAGACCAACAACAAATTCAGCATATGAACAGGAAGTCACTGTTCCTACTGACTGCCAACTGGATGAGACTACGAAGTGACTACAGAGGTGATGGTACTGTGAGGACACTACCGTGAGCAATGGACTAATCCACTGACTAGTTCTTGGCCAAATGGGCCGTAAGCAGTGGGTCTAGCTGGAGGAAGGAGGTCTCGAGGGGCACGTCGCTGAAGGGTGTATCTTTTCTCTGGCTCTTTTCCTCTCTCAGCTTCCTGGCTCCCCTGAGGTGAAAGCTCTCCTCAACCACTCTCTCTGCCTTGTACTCAGCCAGCCATGGACTGAAACCTCTGAAACTGTGAGTCAATACTGTGGAAACGCCTTTTCTTTTGAGTTGGATCTGAAAGATACATGATCCAGACAGAGTAGCACACACAAAGGTGGGAACTGAGAAAAGGCAGAATAGTTACGGGGGAACGCGTATACACACGTGCATGTGCTCAAGTACCTGTGCACCAACACACGCACAGGTGGAGGGGAGAGAGTGAGAGGTTAAGAATGGAGATTAGTCTGGGTGGGCTGGCACATGCCTGTAATCCCAGCACTCCGGAGGCTGAGGCAGGAGGATCGTTGCAAGTTCGAGGCCAGCCTGAACTGCACAGTGAGACTCTGTCTTAAAAAGACCCCCCCCCAAAAAAAAAAGAAAAAAAGAATGGAGATTAGGAAGCCACCAGGGGATCTGCTATTCCCAGAACATCATTCTTCCACCTTTCAGGAGCCAAAATTCAGAGTGCAAACGTTATCTCCTCCTCCCGAGGACCCAACAGGAGACGCACAATCCCTGCTCTGCACTCCCACGGCCCCAGGACCTAGTCTGCTGCAGAACAGGACACCAGGTCGTCTCCCCTGGTGTCCCCAGTTAGACTGTGTGCTAGTCAAGGGTGGGATTGGTTTTGTTTCCCTCTGGGCCCCGTGCTCAGAGCATGACAGTGGGTTCAGTGAACTCTGGGGCTGGTGAATGGTGTAACTGTCTCAGGGGCCATACTACCATCCTCCCTGCACCCCAGCACTGCTGCTGCCCCTGCTCCCTCACCTTCCCCAGGTGGTGATCGTGCACCACCTTCCTGTAAGTAACAAACAGCAGGACATGAACTCAACATGCACACTCACGCACACGCCCCCCCCCCGCCACCTTCTCCCGAGACACTGCTGACCCGCCCATGCTTCCACAACCAACTGTACCCCGTGCACCCTTGCACCTGTCCCTGCTCTTACATCTGCACTGCCCTATTTTAATGAATACTTTCTATCAGTGACCCAGTAACGAATGCCCACCATCTTAAATTTTAAACAGGAAAATTACGAAACTCACTGAAAGAGTTCAATACACTCACAGGCTTAATTCTGCTCCAATCCACTCTTGTTTTTGGTTTTTGGCACCAGGAATCTAATTCAGGACCTCGCGCCTGCCGGGCAGGCCCTTGTGCCACTGAGCTACATCCCAGTCCTCCTATCCACTTATTCCCATTCTGATCCCGCTTTCAGTCCCACTGTCCCAAGGAAACAGGTCTTACCCAGAGCACCACGGCCCTCTCTGCGGCCAAAGGCAATAGCGAGTCCCAGTCCGCAGCACGGCTGAGCATGCCGCCCTTCTTCAAACACTTCCCTTTCCCTTCCTGGGCAGAACCTCTGGTCAGTCGGTCCTCACCAAGCTGTTACTGCAGCCCAGTGGCCCCTCCGGGTACCCAGAAAGGACAATCTGTGACTCAGCACCCCGTCTACTCACCAGAGCCCAGGAGTTGAGTGTGCACAGTCTCATGGAAAATAATAACTGCGGGGCCCAGGGTGGACAAGGGCACGTCCAGGCCACAGCGGGCAGTGGTGGCCTTAAGCTCCTTGGTGAAGTGCTTCAGATAAGCTTCCGAGGCATCTCCAAGGAATTTGAAGAGGTCATTGTGCAGCCGATCTGCGTGAGTTCGATAGATGATGATGTCTGAGATGGCCAGGACCTTCAGCAGCAGCCGTGTTCTCTGGCTTAGATTCACGGTGGCCCCCAGGAGCCCTTCCGTGTCTATCACTGCTACTCTGTGGATGGGGTCATAGGCTGCCCACACACCCACAGTGCAGGACTCCTGGGCAGGGGAGGTTTTGAAGACTTCACGGCCATAGAAGAAAGTGTGGTTGAGGGTATGAGACTTTCCATCACCAGTATTTCCAAAAATGGAAACCACCTTCAGGTGCTGGTCGGGTTTACAGTCCAACTTCCTAATAAAGTCATCTTCATTTGTTACCTTCAAAGAAAGAAGAAAAGACGACAATGAGTTATGGAAACTGCAGAACAGCTACAAACACCTGCACAGAGGACACCTGAGCCCAGTGTGGTGGCGCATGCCTGTGATCCCAACTCTCAGGAGGCCGAGGCAGGAGGATCACAAATTCAAGCCCAGGTTTGCAACTTAGCCAGGCTCTCTCTCAAAAATCTTTTTTAAAAAAGGGATTTTTTCCTTTTGAGGGCTAGGGCTGTAACTCAGTGATAAAATACCTGCCGGCATGTCCAAGGCCCTGAGTTCAATCTCGAGCATTTAAAGAGGAAAAGAATGCACACTTCCCAGGGTCAAGGTCACTGATGGGTTTGTCAAGCCCGGAAGGAAAGAAGCCTCAGGACAAGAGATCCATCACCACCTTCCATCCTCTGCAAATAGCTTAGGAAGCCTCAATCCGTATAAATACGTCATAAACTCGTGGTTATGCAAGAGCTAACACTGTAAAAACTTTTGTACATCATATATTTCATAAGGGCCTTGTGTTCAGAATATGTAAAGAACTCTTATAGGGGCTGGGGATTTAGCTCAGGGGCACAGCACCTGCCTGGCAAGCGCAAGGTCATGAGTTTGATTCCCGGGATCAGAAAAAAAAAAAAAAAAAAAAACAGAACTCTTACACCTCAACAATGAAGACAACTCCATTAAAAACTAAGCAAAACTTCTGAGTAGACATTCCTCCACAGACAAGCAAATGACCAATAAGCTCACAAAATTATGCTCAACACCACTGGTCATTACAGAGATGTAAGTCAAAGCTACAATGAAGTATCACTGTACATCCACTGGAAAAGCTATGACCAAAAGGACAGTAACAAATATGGGCAAGGAAGTAAGACAAACTGAGAATGTAAACGACACAGCCATTCTAGAAAAGTCTGACAAAGTTGCCATAATACTCAGTATTCCACTCTTAGGCATATACCCAACAGAATTGAAAACTATACACAAGAGCCAGGCATGGTGGTGCACACCTGTAATCCCAGCACTCTGGAGGCTGAGGCAGGAGGATCCTTGTGGGGAGACCAGGCTGGGCTACAAAGTGAGTTCAAGGCCAGCCTGAACTGCATAGCAAGACCCAGCCCTCTTCATGTTCTTATCTGGAGACAAGACCTCACTGTCCCAAAGCCAGGCGTGGTGGCACATGCCTATAATCCCAGCACTCTGGAGGCTGAGGAGTCCAGGGAAGCCTGGGCTACGAAGTGAGTTCAAGGCCACCCTGAACCGCATAGGAGACCCTGTCTCAAAAAGACAAGAAAAACAAAACAACCCTCACTGTCCTTAAGTTATACAAGCTGGGCTCAAATTTCCACATTTCCAATCCTCCTGCCCCAGTCTCCTAGAGTGCTAGGGACACCGTACAGATGTGTATCATCATGCCCAACCTAGGGCAATTCTTAAATGTGTCCTTACTTTCATCTGATTTTCCAGAAATTCTAATTGTCTTAACTGTTTGTCATGATCGTGCCATTTCCTGCTTTATAGTCTTCCTAAATCTTTGCTCAATAAGCTTTGGAGAGAGCTTAAAACACTTACAGCAAAACTACATATTCCTGGTTATAAAATAATATGCATAATACAAAATAACGTCTACTGACCTAGTATTAGTTCAGCTTAGTTTTGAAGTAGTCTATGTCCCTACCAATTTGTTGTGATTGGTTGGGAAATGGATGAAACTTGCACTTGGAAGGAATTGGAAAATGTACCAAGCCATTTCAACTAATTTCTCAATAGGGAAAAATGGTTATGATTGAGATTTCCCTTCAATTAATGGTAATCTTTTATTTAAATTTCGCTTACCTAACCTTTGCCTGGGGCAATGCAAAGTATGTCAATATAATCACATTTCTTTTACTCTGAAGAAGTAAAATGATTTTCAAGTTATAATTACAGAATCTGTAATATTTTGTATTATATTTCCAAAGTATTTTATTAGTATTCAGTCCCCTACATATACTTATAAAGTGCTTAAGAGGCGGTTTGCACACGTGCCCACGCACACGTACACACGCACCAATTATCAAGTAGAGAAGCTAAAGTGCAAATGTATTTCCTCTGGAAGTAATAAAACTTTCATGCTGCCTCATAACATTTTTGGTAAAAATGTAGAAAAAATTCTGTGACTTGAAAATAAGTATCAACCCAGGCGTGGTGGCACACACCTATAATCCCAGAACTTGGGAGGCTGACTGTCTTGGTTACTTTCCTCTGGTTGCTGGGACAAAATACCTGACACCCATAATTAAGGAAGGAAAGGTTTATTTCGCTTACAGTTTGTGGAGGTTTCAGTTCGTACTTGGCAAGTTACAAGGCAGAGTGGCACATGGCAGAGGGCAACAGCTCATGGTGGCAGAATACAGCAGAATCAACAAGCACAAAAGCCAGGAAATGGCCACAAGCAGCCTCTTGCTCTCCCTTACATATGCAAACTATCCACCCCAGGGCGGTGCGGCTCTCACACCCATAATCAATGGAACTCTAAAAGCCTGCCCCATGGCCGCTTGAGGCTTTGCGGGGACATCCAGACACAAACCATAACACTGACACAGGAGGATCACTGCCAGTTTGAGACCAGCCTGGGCTACAAAGTGAGCTTAGGACCAGCCTGAACTGCACAGCAAGACCCTGTCTCAAAAAGACAAATAAATAAATAAATAAATAAAAAGATAGATAGATAGATAGACAGATAAATAAATAAGGAATGAAGCACTGACAGATGCTACAGCGTGGATGAGCCCTGAAAATACAATTAATGAATGAAAGAGACACAAAGGGCCACATGTTGTATGATTCTGTGTGTACAAAATGTTTAGACAAATTCATAAAGTAGAAAGTAGAATACTGGTTGTCAGAAGCTGGGTGGTAAAAAAAAAAAAAAAAAAAAAAAGCTGGGTGGTAGATGGAACAGGGAGCGGCTGCTAATGGGGACAAAATTCATTTTTGGAAAAAAAGAAAAAAGAAAAAAACTGAAAATCCTTTTCAGGGTCATGAAAATGTCCTCGCATCACACAGTGCTATGGGCTGCACAGCTCTACCACACCACCAACGCTGAAGTGTACACTCTAGGGGTGAATACGCGCTGTAATGTAGCCCAGTAGGGCAGTGTTTGCCTAGTATGCACAAGACCCTGGGTTCCATCCAAAAATACCTGAAAAATAAGCAAAAAAGGGTAAATTTGATGGTATGTAAAATATATCAATAGTTTTTTTTTTTTTAAGTTTACTGATCAAGCTTCATACATCCATAAATTTTCCCTGTTAACCGTTAAAAGTATAGTATGGTCCTTATAAAAAGCAAGCCCAGTCAGGTGTGGTGGCACTCGGGAGGCTGAGGTAGGAGGATCTCTGTGAGTTCGAGGCCAGCCTGGGCTAAAAAATGAGCTCAAGGCCAGCCTGAACTGCAGAGCGAGACCCTGTCTCAAAAAAAAGTAAGCCCAGAAAGGAATGGCCTTGGGCCAGAGAGACAGAGCTTCAGATTGGAGCTTCAGCAAAATGCTCAGAGCTCCCACTCAGACTACAGACCCCCAGTCAGAGTGCCTAATCCATACAGACTATGTTTCCTCCAACTAAAGGAGCGATGAACCTTTTACACCAGTATCTCCAGCCATCAGGGAAAATGTTTCTGATTCTCCAGAGTCTGTGTAAGACCTGTTATGAACAGACAATGAGGGTTAAAGTGTGAGAAGTCCTTTTCTGCTATAACCTCATCAAGGTACTAACCAGTCGCTATTCTACTAGTGGCACCACCATTACTACGTTCCTAAGAACTTTGCCAATTCCAACCATTCACTCAATGGCCAGCCACAGGGCTCATCACCAGATCCGTGAGCAGAGGACCGTGTCGATCTTATCTCTGCATGCACACAGGACACAAGGAGCTCTGTGCTCGGTGAGTGACTGAATGCCAGGCAACTTGCTAGGAATGCTCATCACTCTGCCCCTCTGGGCCTCCTCCACAGGGCAGAACACAGCACCACTTGATATTATCTGGCAGGTAACTCTGAGAACAAGAAGCTGCACAGAGCAACCCACCTGGGACCTGTGTCACTCCACCAGCCTGCCTCCAAGTCGCTAAGCAAAGAAGGCAACAAACAAAAGCTCCATAAATTTCTGCCACCGAGGAGCTGAGTTCGGGTGCCTGTGGGAAGCGCCACTGACCTTTGCAAACAGTCCTGGACCCAGGAAGTGGGCCTGGGGATTGTCACCCAACGAAGATCTATGCTATCATCAATCTATAAACCAGGCATCTGAAGAAGTGCCTAGATGTCTTAGGGTGCGCATTAAACACCCACCAAAGGATGCACATAATATATAAAAAACTTAGCTGAGATCAGACTCAAATACTCCGTTAGCAGGCGGCTAATTATTTGGCATTTGGTATCTTGGGTAGGTTAGTGTTCACGCGCAGCATATATGCATTTAGGGCAAATGGAAAAGCTCTGGGAGAAAGAGCTTGGTGCCTTTTCCTTTTGATGAGCTGTGGACTATCAGCTATCACATGCTACTGGCCCTTTTTTCTCATGTAAAGTAAGAATATGATCATCTTTTGCCTCCTCTGACTGGACAGCATAGTTGCTAATTAAAATAGTAGATTAAAAAAAGAGAAAATAAATAAAATAAAATAGTAGATGAATGAGAAAATGTCTGGCAAACAGAACCAGGCTTCATTTTTTTTCCTCCTTCTGCCTTTCACGTTACATTGCACCCAGTTAAACTACTAAATTCACCCCTAGGGCCGGAGATACAGCTCAGCAACACAAGCACCTGCCTGGCAAGCATAAGGTCCTGAGTTCGATTCCCAGTACCAAAACAACAAATTCACCCCTAATCAGAAGGCATTTTCCCTAGCCAGAGAGGCAACAGCCTTCACCTGAGCAGTAGCAAGACGGGTTCACACTCCAGGAAGGCAAAGGTAAAGAAAAGATAAGCCTCCATTTGGTGAGCGCAGGAACAAGCCAGAGGGGACAAGCC